TTTCTTAATACGATGATGAGGCAAAGTGGCCTGGTATATAGAGTAGAAAAATCAAAACTTTGAACAGATTTGAAATCACCAATATAAGCATGCAATTTATCAAGTACTTCCAACGAATTTTGGACACTCCAAAAGTATTTAATTCTTATGGATGGAGCATTTACAATTTTACCACTAAATTTTTAAGCAACTTTATAACATATGTGGATTACAAATGGAAACTTTATTTCTTTTATGTTAACTCTATTGTATGGAAAGATCAATGAACGCTTATCAAAGCTTGTTTAAATTTGTGGAGACCGAAATTATTTTTCTTACCGCCTGTTGTTCATGTTGACTTTGAAGAAAGATTCACTGCTGTTAAACGGTGATATTTAAGATTCTTGTGGGATATTGGTCAGTGGAAAAGTAACCCAACATTTAAAGAAAGATAGGACAACTTTAAGTTGTATATAGATATATAGATTTGCTATGGTTGGGATATTAAATGAATACTTTTAACCGTGATATCTGAAATTTTAAGTTTATAAAGCTCAATTTACCATTAAAAAAACACAAATGCCCATTTAAAAAGCGCAAATATACTATCAAAAAGCGCAAACGTCCCGCGCCGATATTTAGACACAACTTCTATGATGTCTTACACAAATACAGAAAACAATTAATTACTTTTAATATCAAAGTGTACTTTCAAAACTACTACTAAACTAATCATTTAAACAATATCTGTTAACATATGTATAATGAATTCTTTATTTAAGGTCTTTACTAAGAAGAAAAGATGTCTCCATATTATTTAAATATCAAGAAATGGTATGATGCTGATGTAACTGCAGTATTGGAAGTTTGTGAGTTATTATATGTCATAGATATAAGTTTAAAGTAAATCCACGAAGGAAAATTCTGTTTTATGAATACAAATATAAAAATGCATGCTGTCGGTGGATCCTCATTATAAGCTCACCTTCACCAAAGCTGTCTCTTGGCGTCTGTCGTCTGTCGTTGTCATCCAGAAACCTTTACAATGATCATCTTCTCGGAAACTACTGGACCATTGTTTGTCGTTTTTGTCCATTATTTTGAAAACTATAATAGCTAGATGTAAACTTTTGAAAATAACAAAAATCATCAGCTAGACAAAACTAGCAAATAAATCGGCTAACATGCAGATGAAATTGTCAGTTGTCTTCTTGTAGGAGTTATTACCCTTAAACGACGATTTGTCGTGTTTGGGCAAAAACTATAAGCGATAAAAATTGTTATTTTTAATATCCTAGAGGTTATAAAAATCCTATGGGATATATTTTCTCCCTTTGGACTTTAAAAAATCCCTTAGGAGAAGGAAAGCATTTCCTACCGGATATTTTGTATCCTATAGGATGAAATAATCCTGTAGGATAAAATATTTCCGATAGGATTAATTCTAATCTTAAGCATGTTAAGGGATTTCATTACTGAAAAAATATTCTATGGGATAAAAAAAAAAATCCCAGGAATGAAAAAAAATCCTAAAATAATTTTTACAAATCAAAAATGAGAAAAAAGATTTTAAGGGAGAACACATTCTATGAGAGAAAGAAATATCCTATGGGAGATAAAAAAAAAACAACAATGGGAGATAGAAATATCCTATGAGAGGATACAAATCATATTGAAGAAAACAATATCCTATGGGAGAAAAAAAATCCTATCTTAGTTGAGACCAAATAGATATAGGAAGATGTGGTATGAGTGCCAATGAGACAACTCTCCATCCAAGTTACAATTTATAAAAGTAAACCATTATATGTCAAGGTACGGCCTTCAACACGGAGCATTGGCTCACACCGAACAGCAAGCTATAAAGGGCCCCAAACAATTACTAGTGTAAAACCATTCTAACGGAAAAATCAACGGCCTAATCTATATAAAAGTGAGAAACGAGAAACACGTATGAACTACATAAACAGACGACAACTACTGTAATCAGATTCCTGACTTAGGACAGGTGCAAACATTTGCAGCGGGATTACACGTTTTAATGGTACCAAACCTTCTCCCTTTTCTGAAACAATAGTATAACATCACAACATAGAAAAACACATTATAAAATATCAATTGGAAGGCTTAACTCAATCAAAAAGCGTAAACTAACACACAATGAACGAATAAATTTGACCTGTGACACCTGAATGCAAATACACAGTTAATAAAAAAATACATGGGATAAATAATTAAAGTCAAAAGTAAATAAACAGGTTTAAACAAAGTTAAAGTATGATATCACTGTGAAAACCCAAACAAAGCCTAAGAAAAGAGAATAGTTGTATATGTTCTGTTACTTAGTGAAAATATTCTTTTATTTGACCAAGATTTCATGGTTCAAGAAATGCAGGCTTAACTTCCAATAACACAAAATTCCCGATAATGGTACCTTAAGTCTGGAGCTGGCATGTCAGCAACTGCTAGTAGTCCTTTGATCATTTATGCTAATCGTTGCATTTGCTTAGTTTCTTCTGTTTCCTATTCTAACAACGGACTCGAACTTCTGTTAAATTGAGTTTTACCGTGTAGTTTGCTGTGTGTTTGTTTATTCCACATTGACAAGAGGTATTAGGGGAGGGTTGATATTTCAAATGACATATTTAACCCCGGTGCAATCTTGTGCATGTCCCAAGTCCGGAACTTGTTTAGTCTTGTGAGGTTTTTTTTAAATTAAGGTTCATTTGTATGTTTTGGAGTCAAATGTGGCGTCCATTTAGCTGAACCCAAGGGCCAGCTGAAGCCTGCCTCTGATTGCGGGATTTTCTCGCTGCGTTGAAGACCTATTAGTGGCCTTGTGCTGTTTTTTTCTGCTCTTTGACGTAACAACGTGCAGCTAGTACAGCTGTAATATTTAACTCTTTAGGGCACCTGTAAATTGTACTCAACCCTGTTTTTCACTTAGACAAGAAAATGTTACCATCTAAACCAAACTTAATCTGTGGAAAAACTTAAAAGCAAATTCAAACATGAACAAGAATGCAAATGTTTTTTGAGGCTAAGCATACCACAAACTCGTAATTGAAAGTAAGGGCAAGTTGGAAATATGTGTCCAACAGATTTTGAAACAATCATAAGTTTGCGTTCATCTCTGTTGAGCTGCGACCCAAATATGAAGTCATTGGGTTCCGTAGGTTCTGAGAAATGTTAAAACTAATTATCTGTTGCGCTGATTTATATTTGAAGCGATAGCCTGTAAAATAAAGAAAGACCGTAATTAATGTTTAATGCAACACAACAAGATTACATGATATTTTAAGCCTTTTTTAAATTTCAATTTGTGGTTTCTATAATCATGTTATTGATCTCAATATTTTTAAAGAAGAAAGGCTCAATCTATAATTACACCAACATAAAATATTTAGGAATTGAATATAAGTTTTTAGGTAGGTAGCATTCTATGAAGTTTTATTTTAAGTGGGCATGCATGACTAGTTTTGACAGTTACTATATTGTTTTGATTTTCTCCTCAATATGCATGAAGTATTTGCAAGTGGGCATTACCATTAACAACCATCAATCCATCAACATATTTTGATAACATCCCAAACATATAAACTAGAGGCTCGAAAGAGCGTGTATCGCTCACATAGGTCTATATGCATCTTCATCAATGGTCACACTCCAACATGTAAGATATCAATAGTATTCATGACATCTCTTTTTTTCTTTTTGGTTGAAATTGTATTGCTGATCTTTTTTTTTCTGTTTACAATTTTTATCGCTTATAGTTTTTGCCCAAACACGACAAATCGTGATTTAAGGGTAATAACTCCTACAAGAAGACAACTGACAATTTCATCTGCATGTTAGCCGATTTTTTTGCTAGTTTTGCCTAGCTGATGATTTTTGTTATTTTCAAAAGTTTACATTTAGCTATTATAGTTTTCAAAATAATGGACAAAAACGACAAAAAATGGTCCAGTAGTTTCCGAGAAGATGATCATTGTAAAGGTTTCTGGATGACAACGACAGACGACAGACGCCAAGAGACAGCTTTGGTGAAGGTAAGCTTATAATGAGGATCCACCGACAGCATGCATTTTTATATTTGTATTCATAAAACAGAATTTTCCTTCGTGGATTTACTTTAAACTTATATCTATGACATATAATAACTCACAAACTTCCAATACTGCAGTTACATCAGCATCATACCATTTCTTGATATTTAAATAATATGGAGACATCTTTTCTTCTTAGTAAAGACCTTAAATAAAGAATTTATTATACATATGTTAACAGATATTGTTTAAATGATTAGTTTAGTAGTAGTTTTGAAAGTACACTTTGATATTAAAAGTAATTAATTGTTTTCTGTATTTGTGTAAGACATCACAGAAGTTGTGTCTAAATATCGGCGCGGGACGTTTGCGCTTTTTGATAGTATATTTGCGCTTTTTAAATGGGCTTTTGCGTTTTTTTAATGGTAAATTGAGCTTTATAAACTTAAAATTTTAGATATCATGGTCAAAAGTATCAATTTAATATCCCAACCACAGCAAAATTTATATATCTATATACAACTTAAAGTTGTCTTTTCTTTCTTTAAGTATTGGGTTACTTTTCCACTGACCAATATCCCACAAGAATCTTAAATATCACCGTTTAACAGCAGTGAATCTTTCTTCAAAGTCAACATGAACAACAGGCGGTTAGAAAAATAATTTCGGTCTCCACAAATTTAAACAAGCTTCGATAAGCGTTCACTGATCTTTCCATACAATAGAGTTAACATAAAAGGAATAAAGTTTCCATTTGTAATCCACTTATGTTATAAAGTTGCTTAAACATTTAGTGGCAAAATTGTAAATGCTCCATCCATAAAAAATTGTTTTATCTATGATTTGGTTGTACATGTAGAAAACTTATTTCAAACGGGATAGCACATCCTAAATTTTTCGGAGATGGTATTTACCGAGCCCGGAAATTTAGATACAATCCTTTTTTTTTTCATTCAGTTTATTGCACACTTGGTTGTTAACAAATACCCTAAAAGGTACAACTATCCCAAATAGGTTTATCCCTGTGTGTGATTTATCAAATGAACCAGGGGATTCACAAGATAAACTTATTATAAGTTTCAAAAGTGGTTAATAGAATATTACAATCGATATAGTTTACAAAATCTGCATAGCCACAAATCCGGAAAACATACGTTCTCTCTGTTTACGTTTTTCTACTTATTTTAATTGTATATCACGTGGTATAGATGTTTATTATGTATCTCGAACACGTGTATTTTATTCATTCTTGTGTGTTGGAATATTCTTAACTTATTTGGTAAGTTTTAAATTTAATGAAATAACTGTTTTGTTTTTTTTTAACGATAACTTGTACACGCTACAGAATACTGAAAACTTGAAGCATTATGAGTATATATCAATCATTGATGACATTCTGATGGTAAGTTAACATGATCAAAAACATGGATAAAGAATGAGTTTTTGTTGATACTTTGTATAAAGTATTGCCAATGGTTTCGTGTAAACAGAGAAACAGTATACATAAAACATAAATGAGAAACATAGTGTTGCTCTACGAGTATAATGTCTTTACTTTCACATAAACAGAGACACACACATATACCATTACCTACACAAAAACATGGTCACAAAACTTGCACACGCACACTCCCTGTCACACAACTACTCAACCATGAGTACTTGCACACCTCTCCTATTGAATTACATTGCGGTTAATTAGATATATTTAAATGTATCTTTCAAAAATTTACTACATTTTCTTTCTAAGAGTATACTATTTTCATACCATTCTAAGAATTCTAATTTAAAAACACTATATACATCTATGTACTTGTGTTTTAACTCTGTTGCATAATTACTTTTGTAAACAGTAAATAAAATAATTGTTAACAACACATTAATATCAAAATATGAACTGTCATGAATTTTGTATCCAAGTATTAAGTTTTGCATTGATAAAATATGTGTACCTATTTTTATTTTATCAAGTAGTAACCCAACTTTAATCCAAAATTCTTGTAAAAATTCACACTCTTAAAAAAATGATCATAATTTTCTACTTGGTGACATATATGACATTGATTATCCTTCATTATTTTCCATTGATGTAGCATTTGCTTACATGGTAATATATAATTGATCAATTTCCACCTAAACATTTTTAGTTTGTTATCATTTAACTGGTGAAATGTAAAGTTTAATATATCATGTATATGATTTGAAGAATTTAGATTGAATATTTTTTTCCATTTTATGAAGCCAATAGGTGTGTCACTTTCTATACCTTTGATATAATAATATATATCTTTAGCTTTTAATTTTTTAATGCAAATTGATTTGGCTTTGTTTTTTGCTTCTATGTAAAGATTTCTGTCTATTTGAACTTTAGTTGAAATTGATTGATTTGATTTTAACATGATTTTCCATTCCTTTTTGATTGCAGATTTTAGTTTAGAAAGTTCTGCCATCCAGTTTGATTTTTCTTTCAATTTATTTAAGATTACTTTTTGGGAGATATTACCTTGTCTATCTATGATATCATTAATAAAAAAAATGTCACTTTCTATCCAGTTTGGAAAAACAAGACTTTTACCATTTAATTTAATTGATTGATTACCCCAAATGACATGCTGTCTTACAGTTTTGAAATTTAACCCCTTGCTTATCTTGGAACTATTATGTACTTTATACCAACTTTTTAATACTTCTAAATAAAATTCTGGCATAGATTTTTTTAAATTTGGTATGTCATATATATTTTCAGGGTTCATGTTAAATAAAGCGAAGTTAGCTCCAAATTTGTTAAAGTAATATAAAGGTATAACCTTCCAATTTGAAAATTCTTCTGTTGTTAACCTTTTAACCTAAGATATATGAATTGATGTTATATAACTATCTATATCAATCATTTTTAAACCTCCTTCCTGATAATCATTACATAGAGTAGATCTCTTGATTTTCTCATTTTTGTTTTGCCATATATAGTTAAATATTAGTTTTTTAAATTGTGTTAGAAAGTCTCTCGATAAATTGGTTACTGATGCTAAAAAGGTTATGCTTGGTATAATTAATGTTTTTTATTACTGTTATTCGCCCAATCATTGTAAGCTTTCTTTTCTTCCAATTTGAAATTGCTTTTTCTGACTTTCTCAAAATATTTTCTGTGTTTAATTTATTTATGTTGACTTTTTATCATAATCCCACACCTTCGTATTTTATGCTAAAATTAAGAGCCAAATTCACCCAACGTCAACTTTGTGTAAAAGAGTTTAACCCATGACTGGACAAGACTGACTGTTGAATGTCACCTTCCGTTAGCATCTATATATTAAATACGGGGCCAATGTATATATATATATATCGCCATGGCAGTAAGCAGGGTTTAAGAACATCCGTTGTTTGATTTGCTAGTCAAATGCGTTTTGTTAAAATATACTTTTTCACTCTTTTGGTCTTTTGGAAAATGTTGTTTGTGCTGTATTCAGACCCCTCTACCAAGACATTAGTTTTGGTAGAGGGGTCTAATTTGTACACCATATCCGGATTTCGACAATTAATGTCTCTTCGGTGATGTTAGGAATCGAAACGGTATTTGGAAAGCCATACAATTTATCTCAATTTAGGATAGACTCTTGACTTTTGAGGAGTCTAAATAGGATAAACGGATCATATAAACCCGAAGGTAAATATAATACAAGCCCAAACGAAAATATATAAACAAGTCTAAATTGAAAACAACGTTCAAACCAATGATTGTTTGGATAAAAACCGCAATTTTTATACGTGTGCATGTAAAACAAATTTCTTGTTAGAGGGGTCTAAATACAGCACAATCAACATTTTCCAAAAAAACAAAAAAGTGAAAAAGTATATTTTAACAAAACGCATTTGACTAACAGGTCGAACAACAAATGTTCTTAAACCGTGCTGACTGCCATTGGCGATTGCCAAATAAACGGATCACCGATGTAATAAATGGATCTTAATTATAAATTTTATACTTAACAGAAAACAATAAACTTGCGGAAAAGATGATATACCGCAAACAAAAGGTGCAAAGATTTTTGTACACCATTTTCCGGATTTCGACAATTAATGTCTCTTCAGTGATGTTAGGAATCGAAACGGTATTTGGAAAGCCATACAATTTACCTCAATTTGGAATAGACTCTTGAATTTTGAGGAGTCAAAATAGGATGAACGGATCATATAAACCTGACGGTAAATATAATACAAGCCCAAACGAAAATATATAAACAAGTCTAAATTGAAAACAACGTTCAAACCAATGATTGTTTGGATAAAAACCGCAATTTTTATACGTGTGCATGCAAATCAAATTTCTTGTTAGAGGGGTCTAAATACAGCACAAGCAACATTTTCCAAAAAAACAAAAAAGTGAAAAAGTATATTTTAACAAAACGCATTTGACTAACAGGTCGAACAACAAATGTTTTTAAACCGTGCTGACTGCCATTGGCGATTGCCAAATAAACGGATCACCGATGTAATAAATGGATCTTAATTATAACTTTAATACTAAACAGCAAACAAAAAACTTGCGGAAAAGATGGTATACCACAAACAAAAGGTGCAAAGGTTTTTGTACACCATATCCAGATTTCGACAATTAATGTCTCTTCAGTGATGTTAGGAATCGAAACGGTATTTGAAAAGCAATACAATTTACCTCAATATATATAAATATATATATATATATATATAAGTCTAGAGATTTGCACAACGATACTAATATAAGATGGTATTATACGAAGATGTTGTTAATAAATCGTGTTGACAAATATTTCGGCTTAACAAATAGCCTTCTTCGGTGTCAATTATTTTAACAATACTGATAATATGTATAAAAATAGCTCAATAATACAGGTAAGTTTTGGTCTATTGATTTAATCCAAAATCCTGAACATCATAATATAAAACAAAACTCAATACTCAAATATACGTGACTGTGTATATTTACAACCCAAAATGAGTGAAAAATAAAACTTAGTATTTTTTATTGATGCCGTTTGGATGATGTACATATATATATATATATCTGACCAAATTGAAATATCTAAGACTTGATAAGAATTCTCCTTTTATTTCGATAATGAGCGAACATGAAGATATATGACGACGTGATTAACGAATATAATCCGTTAAGACTCATTCAATCTCTATTTAAACTAGATTTATTTTATATTTAATATTTAGAGTAATTTTGATGGAGTCATATGACAAAATTATACTTCTACTAAGGAGTTAATCGTATTTTACTACATTGACTACACGTAAGGGTCTGGTAAGTTATTATGATAAGTATTTTTACCTTACTGTATTTCAGAGACATTTATATGTATATATGTCTTTGGGTATTTTTGTGTAATGTAAGAGAAACAATACAAAATAAATGTGTACAAAACGGAATAAAAACAAACCTGTTCGTGCCTTTTTCATTGTTATTTAACACAAAATAATTATCCAAGACACCAGGGACGATCTTATTTCATAATACTTATTGTACCTCTAACTTAATAGCCCAATGAAGAAGGTTATATTTAGCAAAAGTTAACCGTGCATGACTATTAGACACGCCCCTTACAATCAGGGGGTCTAAATTAGGATCGAGAAAAAACGGCAAGTGAAATATCATAATTTATAATTCCAAACAATCTAAGTGGCCTTTTTTTATTATCTCCGGTTTATAATAAGACGGTATTAGAGTGGAAATCCAAACCTTGCTTACATTCATTTCATTTGAACTCGGGTGGATAGTTGTCTCATTGGCAATCATACATATATCATTATTTCTAGACTATGTGAAACCGGAACATCAGGCTGCAATGAGAATTCATTTACAAATAAGCACAACAACGATATGCTTATAGTGGCCGTTATTGCCTGTTAATTCATTTTTTTTTTTGTATTCATCTACCGTGTTGAAAAAAAGGAGAAAAGGGGGTAATAGCTTACCGTACGATTTTAATTATGGTTCAACTTGATTCTAGTAACGTTTGCCTCTTGCCAAAGATCCATCTTTTTTATGTGTCACTCTTAAACTATTAACGCTTCAGTGTTTCAGGTCGACCCACTTTGCATTTCTTTCCTCAGTTGTCTCTCTTCATTTTTTTAATTAAATGACTCAGTCTACAACAGGGTGATGGTGGATGGTTATTTAACATGCAGCGGCAAATCAAATGCATGTTCAGGACGAGCACATATAAATGTAATATGAATATTAACCCTGCTTTATTCTAGACCGACACGCTGAGATGGATTTTTAACGTGCTAGTTCACAAAATAATAGTCCTCATAAAGCTATGTCACCCTACCTGGACACATTATTCTGACACCGAGCCGACCAAGTCTTTGTTCTTACTCTTTAATGCGACTTGCTTAGCGGAGAAACAGCAACTA